GAGAGAGAGAGAGAGAGAGAGAGAGAGAGAGAGAGAGAGAGAGAGAGAGAGAGAGAGAGAGAGAGAGAGAGAGAGAGACCCAACAACAACAAAAAAATCTAAACAAAAACAAAAGTCATTTCCAAACTGACTGAACAATCACCGCTCCTGTGTTATCTAAACATGTATTTATGTATGAAGTAAAGCCATTAAATGAATATTTTGATAATAATATTGTTTTTCTTTTGTACAAAAGCACTAGAGAAACGCACAGATCTACTTTGTGGACCAATCATTAAGTTATATATAATATATAAATATATATATATAAATACTACTACGAATACTAAAGAACAATTCTTCATATAAAGCCTGCAAAAGAACAAGAATTCGCCTGAGCTGTTTATGTTTTTATATAAAATAAATAGAAAAAAAAGACAATCATTGTTTTGAATATTACTCCTATTTTTGTAACGGAAATTAAAAGGATAGTATTTTTATCCACGACAGGGTCGAAGACATTAATTTTCACCATTTGCTACTGTACATAGAGAAGGATGCCCTGCTCCCAGGGGATTATGAGGAAAAAGATTTGGGAGAATTGGTGAAGCAGATTCTTCCCCCGGTGAGTCTCAAGGCAGGCTCCTTTGCCACTACCCTCTCCGAAGGGGCAGCGTCCCCTTTCCTCTAGATTTCGATTTTTTTTTTTCTCCTGCTTTCTTTGATTCCAGTTGTATCTGTATTAGTGTCTCCTCAAACAATGAGCTTAGAGGATAATTCTCTCGTGAAAACAACAGCTCGATCCAAATTGTGCATCTCTGTTGCCTCTTGGAGGGAGAAATAGTTTAAAACAACAACAGCGAAAATTCAAAACAAAACCAAAAAAAGCCAAACCCATAAACCCCAACCCCTAAATCCCCAACCAGCAGCAAGGATAGTAAGTACTAAGCCCCGTGCACTGCTGTTCTGGCTGGCTGGGCAGAGTTGCAGAACAAAGCGAAAGCGGAGACAGGACCCGTTTGGAAAGAGCGGGGAAGTGAGCGGGGGCGGCCCCCGGCGCGCCCCGGGGCCGGGGCCGGGGCCGGGGCCGGGGCCGCAGGGTCGAGGGAAGACGAGACGATCCCACCTCCGATCCGCTACCCAACTGCCCCGGGCAGCTCGGTACTGGACCTGGATGCAAAGTACAGTGTGTTACTCTCCAGTGCTGTCCATGCTTCTCATCATGTATAACGAGCAGGGTTCTCGCCTTTGCATTTTTCGGTCGGAGTTGCTCTTTTCTTTGATTGTTTTTTCTTGTAGACCCTCCCGCCTCTCATCCTCTCTTCGCACTTTTCCAAGCTCTGTTTAACCCACCTGAGTCACCTTTTTGGGTTATGTTCTTTTGGGGGAAAAAAAAAAAAAAAGATTGTGAACGCTCTCTCACTCCTTTGTTCTGTTTTATGCAAGCTCTTATTGTACAAGTTTAGGAACCCCTGTTGTAGCTACCACTAAAGAATTATGCACTACTACGAAAGTTTTTGTTCCTTGTTTATTCAGTTTGGAGGTAAAATGTATTTTTCTACATTCTGGCTTATTGCTTAGTAAAATTTATTTCATAAAACAAACTTTTGTCATAGAAGAATGTGTAGTGTTCACCTGTGGTCCGGTTTCTAACGAGATAAACCATTTTCACCTCATCTCTCTATGTACGGACTCCTATCTTACCTTCCGCCCGGGGGACAGTAAGGCAGCAGCGCAGCCGGCCGGGGGCTGGCCCGGTCCCCACGCCCGGGCAGCTGGCGAAGGAGGACACGTAGGTACCCGCTTCCTTCCAGCTCACCACACAAACCTTATAGGAGTCTTTCCAAAGACACAAAACCAGCCCCGCACTCAAGACGCCGGAAAGCACACCCCCCCCCCCAAAAAAAAAACAAAACAAAACAAAAAACAAAACCAAA